TATTTGACATTATGAAATTATTCGTTATTTTTTAAAAATATTTTTGATTTCAGAGAGGAAGGGAGAGGGAGAGATAGAAACATTAATGATGAGAATCATTGATTAGCTGCCTCCTGCACGCCCCCTACTGGGGATCGAGCCCACAACCAATGCATGTGCCCTTGACTGGAATCAAACCCTCAACCCTTCAGTCCACAGGCCGATGCTCTATCCACTGAGCCAAGCTGGCTAGGGCTTGTTCATTATTTTTAAGGTGGAATAATGATATTATGGTTAAGGGTTATTTTAAAGACACACAAATATTTATGGATAAACTTATATGCTTGGATTTGCTTAAAAGTAATATAGCTAAGTGGAGGAATAGATGGGGCAGGACTGGCTATGAGTTGCTTGTTATTGATGTTTGCTTGGTACATGGAGTTCCTTATACTATTTTCTGTACTTTATCTGTGTTAAAATTTAACAAAAAAAACCAAAAGCGATATGTGGATGTTTAATTCTCTCAGCTAGCTCGTAAATATATAATAAAGAGCTCAATTCTGGGATCAGACTTCCTGGGTCTAATCTCCTCTCTGACACTCACAAGCTATAAGATTTTTGACATCTTGTGCTTCAGTCTCTTTATCAGTAAAACAGAGAAATAACAGCACATGCATCAAACGGTGTTTGTGAGAATTCAATACTCTATGAAACTCAGTGCTTGATAAATATAAGCTCAGGTCAACAATATTATTTCCAGTTGACAACTGGGGCACAAAGAAGTGAAGTAATGTGCTCCCGGACACGCAGCTGGGAAGAGGTAACATCAGTGTTTGTTTGGAGCCCCTGGGCATCCAGGTGCCCCCATCCCACAAGTCCTCCTAGGGACTGGCTTCCCGTAGCCCAGCTCACCTGGCTGGTGTGATCAGCACCCATATGCAGCAACATTTGGACGCAAGACAGCCGGTCTCGGGCCTGAATACTCAGCACCCGGGAACAGGGGTCGGGTGAGACCATAGCAACATTGAGAGCCAGGATGGCTGTATGGAGGGGGGTGAGTCCTGCAGAATGAAGATAGTGAGGGCTCTGCATCTGGAGCACCCACCCTGCCCAGCCCCACCTTCTGCACCTGCCCAACCCCACCTGCCACATCCGCCCTGCCCACAACCCAACTTACCCTCGAAGTCCCTGGCTTCCAAGTCAACCCGAACCCCTGAGTTAATCACAGCCTGGGAGGAAGAGAAGGAAGAGCTAGATTAGGGTCTCCCCAGGCCTCCCAGTCCCAGAAGCCAGAATCTGGGCAATCAATGACCCCATCTACCACAGCCATACCGAGAGGACTCCTGGGAGGCCATAGGTAGCAGCCACATGCAAGACAGAACGTCCCTGATGGTCAGTAGCATTAGGCTCAGCTCCCAGGTTCAATAGATCCTCCACAATCAGAGGCTGGTTGGCAGCAGCAGCCACCAGGAGAGGAGTCTGCAGGTGAAAGGAGAAGTCAGACTGAGCCCCAATCCCTCGCAGGAATCCAGGCCCCCAGACCCTCTGCCCTCAGATTCAGTAATCCAAGCCCCTGGCCTTCACCTTGCCCTTATGCTCACGAATGTCCAGATGTCTGTATGTTTGGAGCACCTCAGCTGCAGCGTATGCTGCCCAACGCAACCCCCGAGCTGCCAGCAGGTGCAGGAGCCTGAGGACAGGTGGGAACAGTAGTTAGTACAGATGGCCAGCCGGGCCATGAGCCCACAGACTCTATTCCCCTATACTCACGTGTCTCCCTCCTCGTCTTGGGCCAGCAGCCGCTGTGGCCCCAAGGCCAGCATTTGAGCACGGGCTGAGTCGAGGGATGGTCCAGTGACCAAAGAGGGTAACTGTGGGGGTCCTGAGGGGAGTCCAGAACCTTTCCAGGATCCCACCTGTGGCAGGGAAGGTTCTACATAAAGCTGGGTATCCAGGGGGTCCTGAAGGGTGCAGGTGGTGAGGAGAGTCAGTCAGCTGAGGAGTCCCTCTTCCCAACCCATCCCTCCACACACATACATATTCAGAGTACCAGGTAAAGTGGCTGCGTGTCCCATCTGTGCCAAGTGAACTTAGACCACTGGGCCTTAGTTTTGCCTATCTGAGGAATGGGATCTTAACCCAGCCCCAGACAACTCAGAAAGCTGCATGAAGGCAACTGGGAACTTTGGGGCCCTTCAGCATTCTGTTCCCACTCTGTATCTTACCTCCATCCCCAGGAGAAATGGATATGGCTGCCCTGGGTCTGAGAGTGGGCAGAAGTCAGAAGTCAGGAAACTTTCAGCAGCAGAAGTAGGATAAGAGTAGGCACTGTCTGTGTAGGCAGCAAGGGTGTTGGGGCTCCAGTCTGGAAAGCCTGTGGTGGGGGCCAGGCTGCCAAGTCCAGAACCCACAGCCTCCTGGTGGGCTGGGAAGTGAGTATGGCCTGCATGTGAGAGGAGGAGCAGGGGCGGGCCTGGTTACCAGAGTTAGGAAAGTCACAGCCAAGGCTGGAGGACCTGTGTAAGGGCCTGGAATCTCCCAAGGTACTGAAAGCTAGTACTTCTAGGATCTAGAATTCTGGGACACCAAGGGGTTGGAAGGTTGGACTTCTGGGACCTGGACTCCTAGGATGCTGAGGGGTTGAGGGTCTAGACTCCCAGAATACGAAAGGCTGGAGGTCCCTGGGCACCAAAGGACCATATGCATAGACTACTGGGCTGCAGAGAATCTCTGGAAGATCGAACTTCCACTGGGTCCTGGCAAGAATCAGGGCCTGACTCCTAACGTTCCCCAAAGTTCTAAGAGTGGGGATGTGAGTCCCAGAGGGAAGCTGGAGCTGGGAGCTAAAGGAACCAGGTGAGTTTCCAGACTTACCAACCTCACCCTCGTTCACAGATTGAGTCAGGGGCTGGGCCAGGGGAGGTGGGAACTGTCCCTGTAGAGACATAAGGAAAAAGGAACATGGTTGAATTTCTCTGGAGATTCTTCAACATCCATTCCCCAGCTCTAGGATGTCTAAATCAGCACTACATCTCTCATCATCCCTGAGAAGCCAGCAAGCCCCTGCTCACAGCACAGGGCCTCCTGAGAGCTGTAGTGGACAGGGCTTCATGGGCCTCACCGGTGCCCCACCGGCGTCAGGCTGTTGCTGGCGGCGCCTCTGTTCTTCCAGGAGCTTTTTCACGGTCTGCGATGGGCAGTGGCTGCGCTCATTACGGCT